CAGGAATAAAGCTCCTGTGATTCACAGTAGTAACAAAGTTGGCCCAGCTTTTTCCTGTCTTCTCCTCATTCCTAATTGTCATTGATGCAGTTCAGAATCATAATTGGCCTATATGATCATGTTGGGACATGAGGAAGCGGGTAAGGGACATCATTACTCAGAGGTAGTGGCATCTTATCTTTCAGAACAACAGCATTTGTGTATATGTAGCTGTACCTGATACCTGTTAGCGGCTTAATTTTTTTGTAGGAGTTGGATATTTTAAACATAATATAGGCTCTGTGGCTCAGAGGTTTTTAGAAGGACATTTAAATCATGTATGTGTTAACAAGCTGTTGCACAATTCCTCTTTTCTTCATATCATAACAATATTAATCTGGGAATGCTGGAGAGGATTACATTAGGGAGTAGTGCTGTTTATGTCTGGTACAGATAATTAGAAGATGGTAATGGTTCAGCAAAGTCTGTTATATGCCGCATACAAGAAAATAAAGTGACTTCTGTTGATTTAATTTCTATGTATGCTCTTTCCACAGGGTATTGATTCCAAGAAAACTGATTAGTTTCATTTACAATTTACTAGCCTCCAGTGTAGAAACAGCTGCAAAACCTGAAAGTGTAGAAAATTTCGTACATAAACCATGTAATGAGGTTGTAATATAAGAAAAAATATAACATTGGAACGTAAAATCCTAAAATATATTTATTTTGTCTAATTAGAATGCTAACATTTCATTAGGTGATGATGTTTTTTGTCTAATTTTATGACTTTTTGTAATCATCGCTCATGCAGAATAAATCATACTATTGTAATATGAATTTCACATATTTTAAGCAGTGCACCAGCTGTATAAAATGCATAATCAAGTTTTTGTATTTACATTATATGCCCAAATGTGTAATAAATTAAAGTATAAACACACTTATGGCCGGTTCCCACATCAATCACACAGGAACCCCCAAAAGTCGGCGCAAGCACAGACTCCTCACTTGACGTATCTAGGTCTTCTCCTGGATTCTTCCTTGTCCAGAGTCTTCCTTCCATAAGGAAAGCTCCAAATGCTCCCCTGTTCAGAAGCTACAGTCTTAAAGCCAACTGACAATCCACCTTTGTTTCAGGAATCTGGTCTTAATGGTATCCTCCTTCGATGCAGTTCTTTATGCCCAATTTTACTCTAGAGTATTGCTACACAACATTCTAGCTACAGTATGTGGGACAAGAAATCTTAGTCTCTGGGCCATCACTCCCACCTGAAACCCAAGAACAGGCTATCCCTGGCCTGGTGGGTCACAAGTCAAGCCCTGGAGTCAGAAAAATCCTTCCCTACACTATTCTGGAACATTCTCATGATAGATGCCAGCCTGTCAGGTTTGAAAAGAGTCATGGACACCCTTGCAGTGCAAGGGATTCGGTCTCCAGGGAAATCTCCGCTTTCCATCAACATGCTGGATCTTGGAGTGATTTGATTAAACACCGGACCTCTCGACTACAAGTTCACGCGACTGTTGTTATTCTGGATAATGCCATGGCAGTGCTTTGCATTAACCACCAGAGAAGAACCAGAAGTCTTGCAGCTCAAATAATAGCTGATCAGGTGGAAAATTGGCAGGTGGACTTCTTCAGTTGACAATATCCGGACTCAGGGGAGCATAATCACTTAACCCAAGGTGCTTCAAGACCTCAGTTGCAGGTGGGAATCATCTGATGTAGACCATCTGGCTTCCTGTTTCAACAACAAACTGGCTTGGTGTGTCCCCTGATCTAGCCTTCGCAGTGGACACTCTGGTTAATTCATGGGATTAATTAAACCTAATCTGTGCCTTTTCCCCTCTGGAACTCCTTCCTCACACACTGCACAGTGTTGAGATGGAGGGCATTCTGATGATTCTCATCGCACCAAACTGGCCCAGGCTGATGTGGTACTCTGACTTATTTTGACTCCTGACAGACTCCTCATGGGCCCTCCCAGATCATCCAGATTTTCTGTCCTAAGGACCTGTTTACCACACTGTATATCGTTCGCTGGCTTTAATGGCCTACCTGTTGAAGCCCAGGCCCTGAAGTACAGGGCCTACCTGATTCAGTTATCTCTATGCTGCTGAACTGCAGAAGACAGGTGAGCTCCTAATTTTTTGTTGTGAGTTGCCAACATACTGCCTTTGCTGCACTGAAATCCTAATCATTGTTGTCAGCCCTTCCTGATTTCTTTTTTCTGTACTATGGAACACCTCTCCCATATTTTATAGAGTAAAGGATAATGCAGTGCAGAAGCAGCATTGTCAGCTCACTATAGGTAATGTGGGATTTTTGGCAGATCGACAGGTCTTTTTTTGTATTTGTAATGTTTCAAAGGGGGGGGATGTGCATGCACTGCAGAAATGTACTGCATATGTTTTTTGTTTTTACATTTAACCCAGACATACACTTTAAAGGATAAGTTCACCTTTCATAACATGTTACACCCATATTCAGGGTGTAACATGTAACATGTTATGAAAGCACTGGCCCCCGCTTCCCTACTTCTTGCTTCTAGCTGTCAAATGTTTAAAAAAGTGGCATTTATAGAGTGTTATGTCACTGCATGCAGGGCTCTGCCTGCTCTGTCGCATGATTCAGTGTTCTGTGAATGAATGAACTACAAGTCCTGACAACCTTAGCGGCTGTCGGCTTGTAGTTCTCAATGAACTACCATGGTGGTGCTGTAGAGCGCTGTGGTAGTGCATTTAGTCAATCTGCTGATCACTGGTGCAATGCTTTCCAGGCTCCTGCAGTAAAAAATAAAAAATGCACTTTTTTTATTGGTGCATTCATTATTTTTTATCAAAAGGTGAATGTATCCTTTAAGCTCTGTTGAGGCAAGGACAGATGTACAAGGGCTAGGTTTCTGCAGTTTGTAGTTAACATTCTTAGTATTGTTATCTGACCTGTTGATGTTCTTTGATTTTTATCAGGGCATTATCTTAATTGAAATGAAATGCTTTGTTTGCTTCTAATGAATTTGTTTCTCTAGGATCTCTAGCTTATCCCCATAGTCCCAAAACATATTGAAAGGATAACTATCTTTCATTTGTTATTGGTCCTGTTGTGTGTTTGCACTTTTTTAAGGGGCCATTGTAATGGGAACACATAAGGTACTGTGACGCATACTAAAGAATATGTTGTTGCTTTTGTAAACTGTTCTCTTAAAGGATTAAATGCTGGCACCAAGAGGTTTCTGGGTACACTTTATCCTGAATTGCAGAAACCCCCCCTGAACATAGGGGAATCAACTAGATAGGTTCTCCTAAGTTGGAGCCCTAGCATGCCTCCCACCACCACTCGTCAGCATGGCTAACCAACAGAGGGCATTCATTACTGAGAAGGTGTTCTGGTATACCAAATATGGAAGTCCACATTTTTATATTTCAGCAAATAAAGGTGTATTATGTAATTATATATTATGCAATTTCCTGCTCTCTTTCTGAGAGACATCAAGGAGCTTTCCTTGTGCAGTCAAAATTGCCTTTGATGCACATTGACAACAACTGGGTGATCCTTTACCACCAAGCTGACTGGTTTGCCTCAGATATTTCTGAAAAAAAAAAAGCCCTGGACATATCTATAGGTTGTAGTTTTATCAATTAGTCTATGACAACATGTCTCAAACAGTGTAGCTTGATACATATCCTCTTTCTGGATTGCACAAAATACTGAGGTGGATTTGATAAAGAATCTGCTCACAATAAATTGCGTGAATATTCACCATGGTGATCCAATCATATGCAGATTAACCACTTCCTGTCTGGCCACTGTATTAAAACATCCAGCTGGGACAAGTGTCGATTCGGGAGGGCATATAAATATACATCCTCCCACATGGGCCACTTCTGTGTGGCACCTAGAGCATACAGCAATGTGCTCTGTGATTCTTTTGTCCCTCAGACACAGCTTATTACAGAGCGGGATACAGGCCCTGTACCATGTGAATAAAGGCTGCATGCCTGCAGACTCTGAGCCATTCCCTCTCACAGCGGTTGGCTGTGAGAGGGAACTGACTGCTTACTACAATTATAACTGTAGCAAGCAGTCAGAGTGTTAAAAAAAAAAAAAACCTCCCCATAGCACTATAGTGTCACTATGGTGCTTCTCTTTGATCAGAGACATTGCTGCTTTGATGACACTCTATGCCAGTGCTGCAGCCATTGTCATTGACCAATAGCCACAGCCGGACATATGTGACACTGCACTGCTCTGGTGACAGTATGTGGAAAAAAAAAGTGTGTGTGTGTATGTATATGTACAGTGGGGCAAAAAAGTATTTAGTCAGCCACCAATTGTGCAAGTTCTCCCACTTAAAAAGATGAGAGAGGCCTGTAATTGGCATCATAGGTAGACCTCAACTCTGAGAGACAAAATGAGAAAAAAAAATCCAGACAATCACATTGGCTGATTTGGAAAGAATTTATTTGCAAATTATGGGGGAAAATAAGTACCGTATTTTTCGCTCCATAAGACCATAAGACGCACCTAGGTTTTAGAGGCAGAAAACAGGAAAAAAAAATTCTGAACTAATAATGGACTGCTGACATAGTAGAGGACATGACCAGAGACTGCGGACAGTACAGAGATGACCAGTGACTGCGGACAGTACAGGGATGACCAGAGACTGCGGACAGTACAGAGATGACCAGAGACTGCGCACAGTACAGGGATGACCAGAGACTGCGGACAGTACAGGGATGACCAGAGACTGCGGACAGTACAGGGATGACCAGAGACTGCGGACAGTGCAGGGATGACCAGTGACTGCGGACAGTGCAGGGATGACCAGTGACTGCGGACAGTACAGGGATGACCAGTGACTGCGGACAGTACAGGGATGACCAGTGACTGCGGACAGTACAGGGATGACCAGTGACTGCGGACAGTACAGGGATGACCAGTGACTGCGGACAGTACAGGGATGACCAGTGACTGCGGACACAGTACAGGAGATGACCAGAGACTGCGGACACAGTAGAGGAGATGACCAGAGACTGCGGACACAGTAGAGGAGATGACCAGAGACTGCGGACACAGTAGAGGAGATGACCAGAGACTGCGGACACAGTAGAGGAGATGACCAGAGACTGCGGACACAGTAGAGGAGATGACCAGAGACTGCGGACACAGTACAGGTGATGACCAGAGACTGCGGACACAGTACAGGAGATGACCAGAGACTGCGGACACAGTACAGGAGATGACCAGAGACTACAGGACACAGTACAGGAAATGACCAGAGACTGCGGACATAGTACAGGAAATGACCAGAGACTGCGGACATAGTACAGGAAATGACCAGAGACTGCGGACACAGTACAGGAGATGACCAGAGACTGCGGACACAGTAGAGGAGATGACCAGAGACTGGGGATACAGTACAGGTGATGACCAGAGACTGCGGACACAGTACAGGAGATGACCAGAGACTGCAGACACAGTACAGGAGATGACCAGAGACTACGGACACAGTACAGGGGATGACCAGAGACTGCGGACATAGTACAGGAGATGACCAGAGACTGCGGACATAGTACAGGAAATGACCAGAGACTGCGGACACAGTACAGGAGATGACCAGAGACTGCGGACACAGTACAGGGATGAGCAGAGACTGCGGACAGTACAGGAGATGACCAGAGACTGCGGATAGTACAGGGATGACCAGAGACTGCGGACAGTACAGGAGATGACTGCTGACCTTTGGGGAGGGAGGTACAGGAGATGACCAGAGACTGCGGACACAGTACAGGGATGAGCAGAGACTGCGGACAGTACAGGGATGAGCAGAGACTGCGGACAGTACAGGAGATGACCAGAGACTGCGGACATAGTACAGGAAATGACCAGAGACTGCGGACATAGTACAGGAAATGACCAGAGACTGCGGACATAGTACAGGAAATGACCAGAGACTGCGGACACAGTACAGGAGATGACCAGAGACTGCGGACACAGTACAGGGATGAGCAGAGACTGCGGACACAGTACAGGGATGAGCAGAGACTGCGGACAGTACAGGAGATGACCAGAGACTGCGGACAGTACAGGGATGACCAGAGACTGCGGACAGTACAGGAGATGACTGCTGACCTTTGGGGAGGGAGGGGGAGCGGGTACATTAATTTGACAGGTACCCGCTCTTACTTCCGCAGAGTTTTTCTTTGATCTTACCTGTTCCTCTATCCAGCCGCGCGCTGTCTACCCGGCTTCTGTAGTGTGGGCGCTCGGCGGACAGCCGGATGCCCAGTGCGCATGCGCGAGAAGCGCTGCACTTTGTGATTGGTCCGGCGGCTTCTGGGATCTGTCCTGTGTCCCAGGTACCGCCTTACCATTCACAAAGAGCACCGCCTCTTGTGCATGCGCACTTGGGACCCGGCTGCCACGCGCACTACAGAAGCCGGGAAGACAGCGCGCCGCTGGATAGAGGAACAGGTAAGATCCCACTGCAGAGCTGAGCGGCCGGCCCGGTATTCTGACGCGACGGCGGTGAAAATACCGGACCGGCCGCTCTATATTCGCTCCATAAGACGCACTGACATTTTCCCCCCTTTTTTTGGGGGAAAAAAGTGCGTCTTATGGAGCAAAAAAATACGGTATTTGGTCAATATCATAAGTTCATCTCAATACTTTGTTATATATCCTTTGTTGGCAATGACAGAGGTCAAACGTTTCCTGTAAGTCTTCACAAGGTTGGCACACACTGTTGTTGGTATGTTGGCCCATTCCTCCATGCAGATCTCCTCTAGAGCAGTGATGTTTTGGGGCTGTCACTGGGCAACACGGACTTTCAACTCCCTCCAAAGGTTTTCTATGGGGTTGAGATCTGGAGACTGGCTAGGCCACTCCAGGACCTTGAAATGCTTCTTACGAAGCCACTCCTTTGTTGCCCGGGTGGTATGTTTGGGATCATTGTCATGTTGGAAGACCTAGCCACGTTTCATCTTCAATGCCCTTGCTGATGGAAGGAGGTTTGCATTTAAAATCTCACAATACATGGCCCCATTCATTCTGTCCTGTACATGGATCAGTCGTCCTGGTCGCTTTGCGGAGAAACAGCCCCAAAGCATGATGTTGCCACCCCCATGCTTCACAGTAGGTATGGTGTTCTTTGGATGCAACTCAGCATTCTCTCTCCTCCAAACACGATGAGTTGTGTTTCTACCAAACAGTTCTATTTTGGTTTCATCTGACCATATGACATTCTCGCAATCCTCTTCTGGATCATCCAAATGCTCTCTAGCAAACTTCAGACGGTCCCGGACATGTACTGGTTTAAGCAGGGGGACACGTCTGGCACTGCAGGATCTTAGTCCCTGGCGGCGTAGTGTGTTACTGATGGTAGCCTTTGTTAAGTTGGTCCCAGCTCTCTGCAGGTCATTCACTAGATCCCCCCGTGTGGTCCTGAGATTTTTGCTCACTGTTCTTGTGATCATTTTGACCCCACGGGGTGAGATCTTGCGTGGAGCCCCAGATCGAGGGAGATTATCAGTGGTCTTGTATGTCTTCCATTTTCTAACTATTGCTCCCACAGTTGATTTGTTCACACCAAGCTGCTTGCCTATTGTAGATTCAGTCTTCCCAGCCTGGTGCAGGTCTACAATTTTGTTTCTGGTGTCCTTCGACAGCTCTTTGGTCTTCACCATAGTGGAGTTTGGAGTGTGACTGTTTGAGGTTGTGGACAGGTGTCTTTTATACTGCTAACAAGTTCAAACAGGTGCCATTGATACAGGTAATGAGTGCAGGACAGAGGAGCCTCTTAAAGAAGAAGGTACAGGTCTGTGAGAGCCAGAAATCTTGCTTGTTTGTAGGTGACCAAATACTTATTTTACACCATAATTTGCAAATAAATTCTTTCCAAATCAGCCAATGTGATTGTCTGGATTTTGTTTCTCATTTTGTCTCTCATAGTTGAGGTCTACCTATGATGCCAATTACAGGCCTCTGTCATCTTTTTAAGTGGGAGAACTTGCACAATTGGTGGCTGACTAAACACTTTTTTGCCCCACTGTGTGTATATGTATATGTACAGTCAGGTCCATAAATATTGGGACATCAACACAATTCTAACATTTTTGGATCTATACACCACCACAATGGATTTGAAATGAAGCAAACAAGATGTGCTTTAACTGCAGACTCTCAGCTTTAATTTGAGGGTATTTACATCCAAATCAGGTGAACGGTGTAGGAATTACAACAGTTTGCATATGTGCCTCCCACTTATTAAGGGGCCAAAAGTAATGGGACAATTGGCTTCTTAGCTCTTCCATGGCCAGGTGTGTGTTATTCCCTCATTATCCCAATTACAATGAGCAGATAAAAGGTCCAGAGTTCATTTCAAGTGTGCTATTTGCATTTAGAATCTGTTGCTGTCAATTCTCAAGATGAGATCCAAAGAGCTGTCACTATCAGTGAAGCAAGCCATCATTAGGCTGAAAAAACAAAACAAACCCATCAGAGAGATAGCAAAAACATTAGGCATGGCCAAAACAACTGTTTGGAACATTCTTAAAAAGAAGGAACGCACGGGTGAGCTCAGCAACACCAAAAGACCCGGAAGACCACGGAAAACAACTGTGGTGGATGACCAAAGAATTCTTTCCCTGGTGAAGAAAATACCCTTCACAACAGTTGGCCAGATCAAGAACACTCACCAGGAGGTAGGTGTATGTGTGTCAAAGTCACCAATCAAGAGAAGACTTCACCAGAGTGAATACAGAGGGTTCACCACAAGATGGAAACCATTGGTGAGCCTCAAAAACAGGAAGGCCAGATTAGAGTTTACCAAACGACATCTAAAAAAGCCTTCACAGTTCTGGAACAACATCCTATGGACAGATGAGACCAAGATCAACTTGCACCAGAGTGATGGGAAGAGAAGAGTATGGAAAAGGAAAGGAACTGCTCATGATCCTAAGCATACCACCTCATCAGTGAAGCATGGTGGTGGTAGTGTCATGGCGTGGGCATGTATGGCTGCCAATGGAACTGGTTCTCTTGTATTTATTGATGATGTGACTGCTGACAAAAGCAGCAGGATGAATTCTGAAGTGTTTCGGGAATATTATCTGCTCATATTCAGCCAAATGCTTCAGAACTCGTTGGACGCTGCTTCACAGTGCAGATGGATAATGACCCAAAGCATACTGCAAAAGCAACCAAAGAGTTTTTTTTAAGGGAAATAAGTGGAATGTTCTGCAATGGCCAAGTCAATCACCTGACCTGAATCCGATTGAGCATGCATTTCACTTGCTGAAGACAAAACTGAAGGGAAAATGCCCCAAAAGCAAGCAGGAACTGAAGACAGTTGCAGTAGAGGCCTGGGAGAGCATCACCAGGGATGAAACCCAGTGTCTGGTGATGTCTATGCGTTCCAGACTTCAGGCTGTAATTGACTGCAAAGGATTTGCAACCAAGTATTAAAAAAGTGAAAGTTTGATTTATAATTATTATTCTGTCCCATTACTTTTGGTTCCTTAACAAGTGGGAGGCACATGTGAAAACTGTTGTAATTCCTACACCGTTCACCTAATTTGAATGTAAATACCCTCAAATTAAAGCTGACAGTCTGCAGTTAAAGCACATCTTGTTCGTTCGTGTAGATGTCCCAATATTTATGGACCTGACTGTATATGTATATATATATATATATATATATATATATACAGATTTTTTTTCTATTTTTATTTATTCATTTATTTTACATACAGGCATACAGTGTCATCCAAGCAGCTACTGTCCATGATACTGCCACAGCAGTACAATGTCACTAGGCCAACGCAGGACACACCCAGTGTCCCCAGTCATCACCACATCAGTCACAGTGTACCCTGTCACCACTACACCAGTCCCAGTGTCCTCATAGGGCCTAGTTCACATGTGCAATGCTCTCTGAAGGATCCATGTTTGGATCGCTCTTCAGAGAGTATTTGACAGGTGGTGAGAAGACATTGCATCACCTCCTCACTGTGTGGTTTAACACCTTGGACCCTGCACATGTGCCCCTAGTTATAGGCACTATGCCTGCCCTGACAAAAGTGACAGGGAGTATAAATCCTGCCATGGCTGCAAAGCAAAGCATCACAGCCATGGCTTGTGTGCACCCTTGGCTACTGCTTCTACAGCTAAAGGGGGGGGGGAGCTGTCAGTGGGAGGTGAGACCGCAGCTCAAATGCAAGGTTTTACCAGCACCTAACCTCAACTGTTTGCAAGCCCTAATGCAGCCACTGTGTCTCCAGTCACCACCAAACCAGTCCCATCATCACCACAAGACCTCATTCCCATGTGTGGTGCTCTCTCAACAGTGATTTGTGTTCGGATTGCTCTTCAGAGACCATTTGACAGGCCTGTCAAACAAATTTTATTTAATGTCCACTTCCAAAAAACTTACAACTTAAAAAAACTCACCATGTCTCTTGCTAAATAGCTTGAACTGTCTGCTTTCCAAAACAGGTCATGCTTGGTGGTATTGTACTGTCCTAGCATTTTATGGCCTCAAGAAATGAGATCACATCAGGTACATCAGGATGGATCAATTTTCAAATTATACTATAATTTGTAGTCTCTTT